CCAATTAAGCTCTTGCCACCTCAGCGATTACCCAGGCGGAGATTCACCATCTTAGGGCGAACAGTGCGCCTCAATGTGGGCCTACTGGCGGGGCCAAGAGGCTCAGACTGCTTTGCCAACTGGGCCTTGACGCTTCACCGTTATTGGAACAAAAAATTACAACAATGGGTAGCCGGCCGCAACAGTATTGCCAGGGACAGAAACCATTCTTTGTGGCTGAGCAACACGGAATTCCTGCACGACTACATTGTGCAGCATGCTCTTCAGCCTTGTCTCCTGCCAGTACACAAGGTGTCACCATGGCCCTTGTGGATGACGAACTTCCTCGCGCCAGGTAACACATCTTTTGGATACCAACTGCCGGATCTCGTGCTCATTCAACAGGAAGGTGTTTTCGTCAATCTGTGGGAATCGCAGTGGGTCGCCTCTGATGGTGGCGAGAAGGTTCGAGACCTCTTGGAGCAGGTTAGAGAGCAACGTAATGCGCCAGGCGTGGGATTATCGATTCGCACTTGCGACACATTGGCGGGTTCCCCGCCAATCCAAAGCCAAGGCCCCCGGAAGTTACGCCCTCCCTCTCTGCAATGGAGTCAGATTGACAACAAGGTGCTGCACGATCTGTACCTGTCATGCACGGGCCCAGACAGAGTCCTTGGATGGACCACTCGAGGCTTACGCCTCCGAACGCAAGATGCCACCATTTTTGCGACCCTTTCCAGGGTGTTTATCAAAGACCTAGCTGCCCACCTGTACAAGGCAGCACGGAGCAAAGTCAAGTCAACATTGCACCTTTGGGGCCCGCTTACCACGCTTCTCCTAGTTGGTGCTCAGTGGCCCCTTCACCACCAGCTGGCCTGCAACACTGCAGTTTTTTCGGTGTGGATCATTCTTAGCGGGGCTTTGGAGTTTCAAGTGCCCGGACGGGCACACAAAGCTTTTGGAGCAGGAAGCGTCATTGTTTCGGATCTTTTGGTCAGAGGCGGCAGTGTCTCCAGGCTCACAACCAATACTCGGGTGCTGTGGGGCACTGTACCACGGTACATGCTACAGCGGGCACCTACCCGGGAGCAGATCCTCAGAGCACGTAGCCTGAAGCAACAGATACTGAGTATTCGGAAGAGCGGCCGTAGGTTGCGTGGGCAGCAAGCGGACATTAGAGCGCGGACCTTGCCTGGTTGCGCTAACTGCACTATGGCTGGGCTGTTGGATCAAGCTTAACTTCCGGAACAGGCATTGTGAGTTTCACTCAGATCTGTGCCCCCCCTTGCCTAGGGGCCGCTTCATACGAAAACCATCGCATTGTGGCTTCCAAGTGTGCATCTGGCTTTCAGGATTTTCGGAGTGTTGAGTGGGTTTGCTTGGTCTTCCGTTTCTGCTCGTTCTTGGTTCTAGGCTCTCTGGTCCTTTTTTGCGTTTGTTTCCTCGGTTTAGGCTGCCTCCAGAAGGCCCTGCTGCCGGTGCGTCGCTCTCTGATGGGGCTGGTACGTGTGTGTGTGTGTGTGTGTTTTTTTTTTTTTTTTTCTTTCTTCTTTCTCTCTGCCAAGGTTCCCTCGTGTCCGGGTGTGTTTTTCTTGGTTTTTCTCTGTCTTGTCTGTCTGGTGGTCCCCTGTCGCTGCCGTCGTGCTTCGTTCTGCTCTGCCTCGCGTCGTTCGTGCGTCTCGCGCTGCTGCGGCTTGCTCGCGTTCCCTGCGTACTCAGGTCTCTTTCGGCAGGGGGTTGGACGCGTGTGCCATTGGCCACGCCTCCCCCCCGCTGTAGTTGCGCGCTCGTGGCCCGCGTCGGCGTACTTGCCCCGCGTACTCAGGTCTGCAGCGGGGGGTTGGACGCGTGTGCCTGCGGCCACGCCTTCCTCCCGCTGTCGTTGCGTGTTCGTCGTTTCGCTTCGCGCCGCTCGTCCTGCTTCCTTAGGTCTTTGCCAGCGGGGGGTTTGGATGCGTGTGCCTTGGGCCACGCCCTCCCCCCGCTGTCGTCGCGCGTTCGTCGTCCGCGTCGCCGTCCGCGTCCTGCGTACTCAGGTCCCCCGCAGCGGGGGGTTGGACGCGTGCGCCTGTGGCCACGCCTTCCTCCCGCTGTCGTCGCGCGTTCGCCGTTTTTGCTTCGCGCCGCTCGTCCTGCTTACTTAGGTCTTGCCAGCGGGGGGTTGGATGCGTGTGCCTTGGGCCACGCCCTCCCCCCGCTGCCGTCGCGCGCTCGTGGTCCGCGTCGCCGCTCGTGCCCTGCGTACTTAGGTCTTCTGCAGCGGGGGGGTGGACGCGTGTGCCTGTGGCCACGCCTTCCTCCCGCTGTCGTCGTTTGCACGCTCGGCTCGGCTTCGTCGCTCTTTGTTCGTTCGTGGTGTTGCTGCTTTGTCCGCCTTGTTGTCCTCTCTCCTTTTTTTTTTTTGTTTTCAATATGTTTTGGGCTGGCTTCTTTTGCTGGCCTTGAACCGCGGTCAGAAGAACCAGCGATGTCTGCAAGGCGGTGGCTGTGCTATGAAACTGCAGCATGAGACCGTCGTCCGTCTCTACGTAAAGAAGGAAGCAAGCGAGATACTTCCGCAGAGTAAAACGGCAGTGGCAGACTACCTGACAGAGCCTGCCGTAGAGCAGTTCGCAACGCCTAAGCCCTGAGCATCATGAATTTTTGGTTCCAACAATCAAAGCTCGTCACCAACATTGAACACTGTTCAGCAGGCTCAAATGATCTTGTTCCGATGTGGTGCATGCAGTCGCAATCGTCTTCAGGCCATGTGATTCGCTGCGGAGAAAATAGCACCAGCTGGCGGAGTGTTCTCTACAGCGGCAATTGAACATGTCACACTGCTTGCGCAACTTTTCATCTGATGAGCTCACTCTGCAGTACTCCGTTGTGAGCAGCAGCACTGTGGGGCTGCAAGACAGACCCCTACCCCTACGCGGCATATATTTATTTCTTTATTTATTTATTATTTCATTCATGTTGTTATCGCGAATAGCCGTTCAGTGCTTCCATGAAAGTGCCGGGGCCGCGGCCTTTTGGCTAGTCAACCGAGCACTCTCGCAAGGACGTCGCTAGTGTGAGATCAAACTGGCGGTTACGGGCGGTCCTAGACAAGGAAGGCCAGTCATTCAGAGCAGATGTTGTCATTGCAACACGGACACGCAGAGTGCCGGGGCCGCGGCCTTTAGGCTAGTCAACCGAGCACTCTCGTAAGAACGTCGCTACTGTGAAATCAACACTGGCGGTTATCGGGCTGTCCTAGGACAGGAATGCTGTTCACTCGGCGTTGCTGCTGTCATTACAAGACAGAAGCTCCGAAGCGGGATGCGCAGGAAAAGCAAGCTAGCCATTGAGGGCTGAGTGCATTAGGACGGCGTCTTTTGCAATTGTGATGTCAACAGTGCAGCTCTGCATCCCATCAGCAGAATATTCGCTTGCAACTTCAACCTTCTCGCTGTGGCGTACCCCAGGCATTCAAGTAGACCTTCGCGCACTCCATACGGCCCTTCCCACAATCATGGATCTACCAGCACGAGCCCTTCGACTCGGCTTGGCACTCGCCGAACGAGCCCTTGAGGACGGTTTCGCCCCAGTACTTGGAGATTCCTTCGATGAACGCCGATCAGGATCACACTCTGGGTTCGCGTCTGGTGCACGCGGTGGTCGCAGAGCAGCAAGCCCTGGAGTGGCACGCTTCGGGGACAGTCCCCGGCCTACGCGCAGGCAGCGCGGCTCTAGCCAAGGCTACGCAGGAGCTGGTCAGGACCCTGGGGTGGTCGGTCTCGGGTCTTCCCGGTCGGAGCCTGGTGTGCCCGGTTACTACTCGCGTACAGCCCATCCGGACTCCCAGCCACGACGCCGTCACACACAACGCGCCTCCTCCCGTTCCAAAACCCCCTTACGTCGTACTTCGAGAGCTAGCACAGGTCAACGCCGAGCCGTGCATCATCGTGAGGACCGACCCCCAGTATCAAGCCGCCGTCGAGGACAGACTCCCACCATTCCGGGCACCACCCGAACTGGCAGAGGTCGCGGACGAGCACGCGGCCATGGCACCACTTCCTCCAACCCGCCCCCCCCGTCTCTAACGCCGGCACCAAGCCCTTCCAACTCCGCACCACCCGTAGGGTTTCTTGTTCGAGGTATCCGACTGGAAGAATCGGCTCTTGCCCTCAATGCCGTCTTTCAAATGTCCACCACCCTTGCCAACCTGGCAGCCGACATCGTTCAGATCCCACCGGGTGCAGCGCAACATGGGATCACTACAATGCTGGCGCATCCGCAATTTGCGGAGGTCCCGACCGTGAGGATGGTGATGCAGGAGCTTGCCCAGCACTCTGGTGTGCCATGGTCGGGCAGTTCCCGCTCCTTATCGCTACAAACCCCACATGGTACGGTCAGGTTGAGCTTGGCCCAACGAGCCCTCCCGGAAGTGCCCCGAGCGGTGCGGAACATCAGCAATCCTCTCCCAGCCCAGCCAGAGCATATGGAAACATCTTCCCACCCGGAGAACTCCAATTCAAGCATTGGTGCAGCCGAGCCAGCAACAGGTGCCACTCCAAGACCAACTCCACCTCCTGCTGGTCATCTTGCTGATACTGCTGAACGAGCAACAGACACGCATCGTTCGGTTGACATTGCTGACGGTGCACAGACCATCAGGGACCGTCAGATCTCAGTGGTCCTGCGGGGTCAGTCACGCGGAGTTGCCCTAGCACATGTTCCTGCAGTGCCACGCAATGGTGAATGTGCAGTGTGCAGGTCGCCTTTTGGACATGGGGAGGAGGTGGCCATCACGCTGTGCCTACATGCTGTACATGCTGCCTGTCTTGAGCGTTGGCTTGCACGCGTAGAACAGATGGACTCAATTTACTCGGCAAATGATGCGGAGTGCCGATGCCCGGAGTGCAATGCCAATATCCTTTCGTTTAATTTCCCTTCAGCCTAGCGTTGTGCTGGTCTCCTGTCGGGTGTACAGTTCCTGATTTTTGGTTGCTTTCATCCTTGATCGCCCTGCGATGTTCCGCGGCCTGGTTGGGCCCATGGCCGCTGGCCGCAGCGACTGCTCGCTCATCATCCGCTGTCTTAAAGCGTTCGTTTGGCTTTTGCGTCCTTTGTTCTGCTGCCCTTGTCTGCACCCTCTTGCTGCTGCCGCTTTGCTTCGCCGCCGTCTCCTCTTTTCGCCTGCCGGAGACTTAGCTAGTTTCCCCCCGGCTTTGGTCATGATGGAGCCAGCCGATGCTGACAATGATGAGCCGCTTCCGGATAGACTGGAGGCAGCGGTGGGTAGCATCACAGTCCTCCCACGGCTCACTGGTATCCCACTTGGTCACGACTGCTCGTGGAAGGGCAGTCAGGTCTCTCGTCTGGCAGCTTTGCAAACTGGTGGCATTGGGAGGGACAGGTATGCCTGGGGAGCGTGGTGGGCGGAGGCCATGTCGGATCTAGGAGCAGACATTGCTGCTTTGACAGAAACCCGTATCGATGGAGCCTCCGCACACAACGCTGCAATCAACGGCATGTGGGATGCCGGTTATCTCTGCATTTCCCATAACGTCTCCAATGCCGACAGACGTACAGACAATCCGCTTGGCTCTGGAGTAGCGCTGGCCATCAAGCGCGAGGTGGCCGCTGATTGGACAGAGGTCACACCCGGACCACATGGTCGAGCGCTGGGCGGCTCCATCCGTCTGCATAACGGGGCTGTGCTCCGGGTAGTCGCGGTCTATGGCCCGACAGGCGCATGTCTACCAGGCTTCACTCAGAACCTCAGGGCCGTCCAGCACGAAACTGATCTCGTCACCTTTCTGCAACAGCAAGTGGCCATGGCTCAAGCAAAAGACTGGACTCTGGTGGTTTTAGGTGATTTGAACTCCTTTACCGACGGGGCTCTAGATAAGTGGCAGGGTCAATGGCAAATTCGAGACGAGTGCCTAGCCGTACAATGCCGCGAAATGGGTCTTATTGATACCTGGCGAGACTCTCATCCCACACTTCCCGGTTTTACTTATGTCTCTCCCACAGGCAGCGCTAGCCGCCTGGACTCCATTTGGATCCTCCCTGCCATCGGATTCCATACACCTGTTCTCAACTCGGCACTGCTCTGGAATTGGCACAAGAGAGTGGATCACCATCCGGTTCTCATCGACTTGGGCATTGACATTCCCACTGTCCCAGCAGCCTCATCAGATCGTGAACAACCCCGGTGGCGAAAACTGGCTGATATGGCTCATGGCCATAACCTGCAGGCACTCAGGGCACAAGTAGAGGCCCAGATGGACACACATCGCCCCCTACTTATGCAAGCTGCAGCGGATCTCACAGAGGCATCCACACACGGCGGCACTTCGCATGCAACATTGTCCGAAATCGGAATGGTACACGGGCAGACGCCAGCTCTTAGTCTGCGAGAGGTGTTGTGCTCTCGCGTTCACCAAGCACATGACTCCATCATGGCAATCTTGCATCAAACTCTGCCGACGACGAACCAACCCAGCATGGACCGGAAGCTGGGCAGGGCCCAAAATGCCTGGGACACATGTTTGGCTCTGCTTCGCTCTCTCAAGCACATCCTGATCGATTCGGAAACTTATGACCTGGAGACCGCCAACTCCATATTGAACCGCGCTGATGTCAAGTGGCGTCAAGGCCTTCATTTCCTGGATAAGCGAGGACACGTTACGATACAACGGGACCCATGGGACTGGGATGGTTTTCATACTCAACTCGATCGTTGGTTATCCTCTTTGTCTGCGCCAGGTGCTCCTCAGCTACGCCCCCCCGACATTTGTCAACCGGCGGTTGATGCGGTTGCGCGGAACTTGCACTGGGCACCTTCTGCCACGGAGACCGCAGACCGCATTCTCCTAGTAGAAGCTTGGATACAGGAAGCCCAAACACTGAGAGCCAAAACCGCCGCGCACCAGGCCCGTGAAGGACATGAAAGGAGGGTCCACTTGCTACGCTCAGGTGATCTCAGACGCTGGGCTCGCTGTTGGCGTACACCAGCATACAAGCGCCAAGCCTACACTCCGCAACAAATCACCACCGCCAGTGGTACTCGCCGTCCCAAGACCCCTGCGGAAATGCGTAAGGCTGCTGCGCAGGAGTGGCAAAAACTCTTTGACCATCCTTCTCGGCCGTGGTCGCATGAGCTGGTGCATACCTGGACGGACCCCTCAGGATTCTTGCGGGGCAGCCCGAAAACACATGACGTCCAGGTACCGCCAGACGTGCTTCAGGCCCTTTTGTGCCCTGGACCGTGGAGTCGGTGTGTATTTCGGGGTTCTGAGGTCCAATGTTTGGTGGAGCAAGAGATTCGAATCCAGATATGGCGGTTTCGGAGAGTCGGGGGACTGTGGGAGGGCAAGCTTCTCGGTCCTTGCGAAGGCCAGGTACAATGTGTGGTGCATATCAATGGGCAGCCCGCACATCTTTGGACCCTACGGCAGTGGCTCGCTCTTCCGCCACAAGATACGCACTGCCTGCTTCTTCTGCGTCCCCAAGCTCTTCCTACCCCTTCTTGTCTGGGGCCGCTCACTGCACATGAAAGATCCCGGTGGTTGTCCAAGATGTCGTCCTCCAGACCTGGACCTTCTGGATGGAAGTTATGCTATCTGCATTTCTACCCTGGGTGGGTCCAAGACATCTTTTGGCTTTGTCTTGACACCCAACGTGCTATTGGATCAGTCGCGCCCTCGCTGAAAACCGCTGTGCAGATCAACATGCCCAAACCTAAGGGCGGCTGGCGGCCTCTGACGATGCTTGAGGAGGCCTTCAAGGCCATAGAAGGTCCGGTCACTCATCGCTTGGTTTCGGCTCGTGCGTTCCTCACAGCTGGCTCCGTCTTCAGTGCCTGGAACCGTGCGTACGAACCCGGCCAGTCTGCGGCCTCAGATGTCCTTTACCTGGATGTCCAGGTGTGCGAAGACTCCCTGGCTCATCATCTCCCTCTGGCAAGGGTTCCCGCAGACTTTGAAAAATTTTTCAATACGGTCAATTTGCACCAGGTCGACGCTGTGCAGCAAGCACGTGGGTTACCGGACCCCATCCGCCAGCTATATCAGGCAGCCTTCCAGGGACTCACCATTCAGGTGGACACCAAATGGGGCCTGTCCGACCCGGTTCACTGCCATCGCGGTATTCCCCAGGGAGCAGCCTCATCCCCGGAACTGTCCAAACCCGCCCAAGATCCGCTGTTGCGCTTGCGCGAGAATAGCACGGCCTGCTACGTCTCGTCAGCGGGTCGGCGGGTGCCTATGGCCGGTTATGTGGATGATGCGCGAGCATTATGCTTATGCGGGCCATCAGCTGCCGCAGTTGCTGCAGGATCTTTCTAAAGGAAGCCAGTTGACGGGCATTGGGTTTGCATGGGACAAATTCCATGCCTTTGCCACGGATTGGGACATCGTGGCGGCATCACCTCAGGGGCAAGCGGCCGGATTCACTCCAGAAGGCATACCGGTCTCAGGCTACGACATTTGGGCAGGAGCGGAACTCGTCACCACTCTGCCCAGAGCCAGGGACACAGATGAAGAGCTCCTTTTGGGAAAAAGGGGCACTTTTCTGGATCGTCACTCGGCAGCGGCGGAAGACATCCTGCTTAAACTGGACAAGCTCCTACAAGGATTCTCAGCGCGGCGTTTCAGTTGGGATGAGCTAATATTGGGAGCCCAAGTATATGCAGCAGGGTACCTCAACTACGCTCCTTTGGTGGGGATACCCCATCCGCAAGCTCTACACAGACACGATTCTGCGGTTCAACAACATCTCCTTCGTGCGCTTCATGTACGTTCATCGGCGGAGCGTGTGGGGCTCTTGGCAGCGCGGTCCGTTGGGGGCCTGCAGTTGTTCTCGGCGGTGGAGGGATCATTGGCATCGGTGGCGGCAGAAGTTATGCGATTGCTGTCCTCTCTGTCCCCGGCTGGACAATTAGCTAGGGACGCTTTAAAAGAGGCGATGTCCATGGCGCCGGAGGCGGCAGAGCAATGCGACTACATGATTGTACGTGCACTGCGACATCTAGCTGGCTACGGTATCTTTGTCAACTCGAGTATGGATCGCACTGTTTGCAGAATTCTTGACCATCTAGCAGATTTGCAGGGGCACCGACCTCCTGGCCTCATCGGACCTTTCGAACAACGCAAGCATACCAACATGTTGCCCTATTGCAGAGTGGGTCGCCTTGCTAACGCTGTCCGTTCCTGTCTGCTCCATTTCCGCAACAATGGGATTGCGGACACTGAATGGGGAGACCCTGCACATTGGTTTCACCTGCCGGCGAATTGTCCGGCCTCACCGCAGCAATGTGCTGCTGCTACTACTGCGAGCCTGGCACGTTCCTGTGCCGACTGGGCCCTTGAGTGTGAGCTCTTCGGGGTGCATCATTTGCCGATTGCTGAAGACTGGTCTGCGGCAGCCTGGGAGCATCCACAAGACCCCAGTAATGACCTGCGAAGCCAACACCTGGATAGCAAACAGCAGATTCTACCCAACGTCGATATTGGCCTTTTTGCGGACGGCGGGGCCAACGGAGAAGCCACCGTGGCTGCATGCCAGGCGAGAGCCTTCGCGGGTCCTCATTACTGGAACACGGCATCGGCAGCAGGCCCACAACTGGCAGTGCGACTCCCTGCTAGGTACGGTTGGGAGCACACCACGGTCCACACTGCTGAGCTATTGGCCATGCTTGTTGCTCTCCGTTGGCGTCGTCCTGGTGCTTGGAACCTCCTAGTACTGGATAGAGCCTCACTGTTCCCCTTATTGCAGCAAAATGCCCACAAACAGAACAGAATCCTTTCCTCCCCATGCCTTCATTTGGTATCCCGGGTACACACGGTCACAGGGGAACTTTCAAGTGCCTGGCGGGATCATGCCCCTACGCCGCTCTGGAGAGCGCATCAGCTCACTGCTCCCGAGACCTGGCACGTTCAGGGCAATGTACAAGGCCGTTCGGCGTCGCTTTGCAGTATCCCTTTTCTCGATTTTGGCCTCGTTGGTGTTCATGTTCGCAGTCATCAAGCCAATACCACTGCCCCGGCGCCCGTTATCGTGGAGGGCAATGAGAGACAAGACGAAGGTTGTCGTCACGCCTACCGTCTGCCGCAGCCGCCGGATGTTTGGTGGCCCTCCAGTGGCTTAGCATTCCAACTCTCATACAAGGGGCGAGCGGTCACGGACACTTGCCGCAACTTCACTCGCAAACTCCTCCGCCAAGAGGCAAAGGACAAATGGAAACTTCGCCCTGTACAGGGTAAGATTGCTTCAGTTTCCGGTGCCTTTCTGCCAGGAATGGACTTGCGGTTGTATGTTTCCTTTACAGTGCCCAACCACTGGGCACGTTGGCTCCTACCCAGCGATCGCCGCACTGTGGATCTTTCTGCTTTCGCCTACAGATGCTTGCGCGCCATTGGCGGTGGCTGGACAGAAAGACTGCACTCCGATACGAGGTTGCAGAAGCTAGCTCTTCGCTGGGCCGACTTTGCCAACACCTCTGCCAGAACGTGCCCGCTATGCCTACAGCTCGCTGGAACACCTCGCCACGTGGTTATGTCATGCCCTGCCATGCGCCCTATGGTCCACCACTTCCTGGACGATGTCGAAGCTGAGCTTGTTCGCTTCGGTAGTGTTGCACAGCACTCCCTTGAAGCCGCTAGACGCCTGCCTGCCTCCCCCAAGTCCCCCACCCCGGAAGACGCCACGCGCTGGCCCATCCTCACTGCTTGGAGGTGGCTAGTGCCCATGCGAACCGAAATCGCGGATTTTGCCGCGGATGCAGCCGGGAGTAGTGCAGTACCCACTCGGATGGAATCTGGTACTGATCTGGCCTATCGTGGAGTCCTTCCAGCTGCATTGGGACGCTTCATCACACGTACAGCCACTGCAGCTTCCAATGACGAGCCTGACGATCCGGACCCCCTGGCTGATGAGTCCTTTAGTTCCTCCCGAGACATGCATGGCGCTTCGGAGGATGTAGCGCGCAGCCTCAGCAAGCTTACATCCGTCGCTGGGGCGGGGGTTAGCGTCCTTCGCTTGCTATTTCTCGGTCTTCGTAGCATACGTGCTGAATACCTCAAGCGCATCGCTGCCTGGGCGGATGCTACAGAGGCGGCATTGGATGCCAATATCCAGCCTGCTCCTCCTCTCCCCCTTCCGGCGGCCCTGGCCCCTGATGCATTCCTGGACTGGTTTGCCTCATCTGCAGGATTGGGGGTACTCAGAGAGCTGCGCTGGCTTGCCCCTCCAGTGGAACTCGCCCTTGCCAGACTTCGTGGAGCCTGTCGTATACCAGGGTATCGGCCTTCTGATGCTAGGCTTCGCAACATGTTGCTTGCTGCTGGTGTTCCCTCCACTCAGCGGGACAAGCTTTCCTGGATGGTCGATGGTCTGCCTTGGGAATTGGCACGGGTGCAGCTTTCACAGGTTTGTCAATGCCCGCGCTTACTGCCTGCCCCTCTCATCTCGTGCTGCATCACCTGTCGTGGAGCCCAGATGCAACCTGCAGTTGCAGCTCGCATGTGCCCGTGGTGTCGCCAGGACTCGGCAGTACATTGCCAAGCGTGTGGCTGTGCATTACATTTCCGTGGGGCATGTGCTTGGAACAGGGGAGCCAACCGGCTTTTTCTCCCCACAGCGGAGGCCCCGGTGATACTGTGCCCAGACTGTCACTGGGCCTGGATGCGGGCGCGGGCGGCACTTCCTTGGCGACAAGCGGGGCCAGAGACGCCCTCTGCCTTAACCGCATTGGTGGTTGACCTCCGCGGTCGCTGCTCCCCAGGAGCTGGTTTGCACAGCAGCAAGGTGGCATCCACTTTTCGGCAACGCCTCCGGCGTCACCTTCGCAGGTGGCTCTCGCCAGAATGGAAATCCCTGGAAGAAGCGTTGCGCAGCTTCCGCGTCCTCTGTCAGCCCGTTGTGCTTGACGACGCGAGCCTGCGTGCGGAACTGACGGTGGCGGCGGATGCCTTGGTTCGCTCCGGCAGTGCGCTCAAACAGCAGGGAGCGGACAGACAGCTTCTCTTGCGCGGGGCATGACAAAACACAGTCGTCTTAGTATTGCTTCCGACTAGCCTGTCTTTAGACGACAAGCATATGCATCCAGCTGGAACCGGTCACTGCAGCTGGGCTTCAGGGTAGTTCTTTCCCTTCTCTTCTGACGGTTTGATCCTTAAGCCCTCGGGCCGGAGGTGATGCCGTTTGCGTTAGGCCAGATCTTCGGATCTAGGTCGTCCTTCCACTCCACTCCACTCCACTAGGACGTTCTGTCGGTGTGTAGATTGACTGGTTTCACACACGTCGATGCACCACGCCCACATACGGACATGCATGCATACCTGCATACAAGCAAGAATACATTGCAACACACATACAAACATGCAGAAGCACCTACATACAGTACAAACTGAAGGCCTGTGCATGTATGCATATCATTGCATATCCACACATGCATACAGTGCATGAACACAACTCGCTGTCTTTGGACGCTTGTGTACCTTCGGACACGTATGTAGGAGTTTCTCTAACTTAGGGTTTTGTTTAGAGCCCTTTTACAAGGGTGCCACTTTCTTTTGGGCTCTTAGAAAGGAGCCCTACATGGGAACTACCAACATGTCTCAGGTGGTGGTGTGCCAGTATGTATCGGTGCGCTAAGTTGGTAGATGGATGGATAGATAGACAGATAGACAAAAAGATCAATGAAAAGCCAGATAGATTAGTAGCTTAGGTTTCTAACATGTTTGTGTGCATATGCAGACGCAGTGCTGCTGTCATAACCATGCATGCGCGGATACCTGTATGTATGTCTGTTATGAGAGAACTGTCCATCGGTGTCACTCTACGAATAGGTACAACGTCTGCATTGTACTATCTGTGCATGCACGTTGCGCCATAATCCTAAGCTCGCCTGGCAGAAGGGCCGAAACAAAGTATCTGCTCCGCATTCGTACGGCAGCAAAATCACTTTCATCTGCCAGCCTCGCCGGCCGGAGTACACGAAGAGTAGATGCTCGAAGCCGAAATCCTCCCAAGAGTTGAAGTTGTTGTGGGGCCTCACTACAAGTACCTGAACGGCATGAACGTTGCTCAGAATAGATTAAACGGATTAAACGTCTTGGCGATGCTCATGATGCCCGGTGGACGCTGATGCTCATGATGCTCGTCGTTGGATGTTGGGCTCGACTGGAAGAAACTTGCGCACGCGCGCGGCAGTTGCTGCTGAGAGTAACAGACAGATTTCCAAAGGTAGATTAATGCTCGGCCGTGGCTGGCAAAGCGTAGCGTGACTGCCTCTGCTGCTCGGTGAGAGTTTGTCACACTGTGGCAGCCGATGCTCATGATGTTCTGCGCTGTCTGGTGCTGCACTGTGGGGCAGCTGATGGTGAGGCGATGTTCGGTGCTGGTGGGGATACCTGGCTTGTGCCCCATCGTCGTGAACCTCAAACCATACGACAAAAATCTCTCCTCGCGCAGAGATCGGCGAAGGATCTCGATGGCTGCCTGCAATTAACAAGCACTCCACGTTGTAGGCACCTCCCTTGCGCAACTAATCCCAGCGTGTTATTGGTTGTAGCCTCCATCAGAAAGACCGGTGGTTGGTTCATACCTCTAACATACTCCCAAGATATGGAGAATATCGAAGGATCGAAGCTTGTTGCTGCCGATCAAACATGTGTTCATGTCGTGGCTGTTGCGATACATGCAATTCCACAACCCTCGGCCCTTGGATGTTAGGTTTGTCTAGGCGCGGCATGAGACAAGCTGAAACATTGACCGTGTCACTGCATGTAGGAAGAATACACAACAACACAAAAGCTGTGAGCCCTGTCGTAAATCCTGTAAGTCTTTGGAACTTCAACACCCTGAGCCCGATACCGATACCTGAAACCCAAACTCCACACCCTGAGCCCTAAACCACAGCCAAACCCTGAACCGTCTCGTTACTCCAGCGGCCAGCCGTAAGGAAGGACCGACCACACGATCACATTACTCGCACCTACGGAGAAGCACCACAACATTCGGAAGTCAAAGCGGGCCTTCATGAAGGTCCAGCACTTCAGGCCTTTGCTGTGGCGGCTTGGGGCACGATACTTCAGTTCTGTCGAGGTATCTCTACTGGCCGAAGTGATCTGAGAGGGAAACAACTGCAACCCTTTCTGGTACCAAGGCATGATGAGACAGGAGGGGCATGCAACTCTTTGTCACCAGGTAACAGCCCCTGGCAAGCGCTCCGAACACTTGGAGTTCGACATAGCTTGGCACCAGTGCAACAGCTTCGGATGTCATCGTAATCGTCCATGTCCTTGGGGTGTTGGTGCGATGCGTCTTAAAGCGCAGGATTTGCAGAAGATCTCAGACGCACCACAAAGGAGGTACTGCCAAAGCAACGAGGCAACAGCGACGACTGCGACTGCTGCTGCTGCTCCTGCTGGTACTGCCACTCCTACCCCGACTCCAACTCCCACTCTGACTCCTTCTCCTTCTCCTCCTCCTCCTGCTACTGCTGCTACAACAACACCAACAACAACTACTACGACGACAACGACTACTACTACTACTACTAACGCCTCAAGCCCGGAAGAGAATCGACAACGTTGCGGGCACAGAACTTGCTTCTGACACCCAGGCTTCCGATCCGACTGGCGAACTGCAGCTGCGCTAGGGTGGAGGCGATATCGAAGACCAACTCCCTCTCGAGGGGCTTGTAGGCATCCTCACGGCAGAGATCTAGGCTTAGGGCCTCCACCAAATCACAAGAAGCATCTCTGTGGAGGCTCTTCGGGATACTGGGTCTGCATGGTGGATTGCCTTGAAACGGCCACGCCTTCATGACCAGCTTGTGCTTGCTCGGCAGATGCGTGTACACAGCGCCGATCTCCATTCGGATCTCAGTACATCTACACGAACCTACACGAAGATGGGTCATGTGCTGCTGTCAGTGGCTCCTGGGACAGATGCGGCGAGCCATAGCTATGGAGATGATAAGCACGAAGTGGCTGCATGGCTGTTGACCCTTGTGAGGAGGCGTTGGTTGCTGAATGCGTTTGTTTCCAAGTGTAACTAACTTCTTACGAACAGCCTCCGCCGCGGCTGAGTGTAGGCTGAAGCTCAGATGCGCACCGGCTGTCGCTCCAAAATGCGATATCGGTACTCCTGTCAGGGTAGGTCTTCATTTTGAGGTGTCTGGGCTGCGTTAATGCACGTTCCGCAGCCTCAGAAACAATGACTTCCAGTTCATGTCTTGTACGAATAGGTGGCGCGTCATGTTCGGGCAAAGGGCGCCTCTGCGTCGTGAAAGCAGGTGTATCGACAGTGGATCTCATTGCCGGCATCCCCCTGCAGAAATCGACGTGGACAGTTGTGGGAATGAATCGGGGAGGCGACAATCAAACATCGCCGTGTCACAGAAAAGCAGCGAGCTATGCACAAAGTGCTGCATCGCTATACCAAGTGATTGTGCACTTTCTATGGTCGTCTTACTAGGTATGTGTCCTACTGTATCCCACTTCGACCTTTGAACCTGAGACCGGGATTCTGAGGCTTCACAGTGCCCAGTTCCTGATGATAACCAAATCTTAAGCACAGCACCTGCAGCACGAGATCAAACTCCCGGCGGTGGAAGAAGTCCTTCTGCACCTCAAGACAATGAGCATTATTGCCGGCAGAACTACAAAGACGGTGACGACGACTGGTGCTGCTGGCGGTGCTGCTGCTGGCGCCGTTGTTGCTTTAGCTGTGACGATTGTCCGTTTCTATCCTCGCATGACAAGCGGAAGCAAACCCCTGTGCACACCCTGCTTGTGTCACCGTTACACCCAGCACCACCATCCCCATCTCCATCGTCCTCGTTCGTCATGGGTACCATCATCGTCATCAGCAGCAAAATCAGAATGCCCGTCATCGTCATCGTCGTCGTCGTCGCCTTCCTCCGCATCATCTTCATCATCATCATCATCATCACCATCAGCAGCAGCAGCTGTGTCACCATCATGATCGTCTAAGCCATCGGGGCCATCATCGATGACGTCATCATCACCCTCCTCCTCACAGTCAGAGCCACGGCCCCGGCCACATGAGCAGTCATGACCGCTTCTTCTTGACACACGATCTCACTGCCCGAGAGTCCTAAACTTCAAGCATCTCTGCGAAACCCTGACCCCCAAACTTTGTCTCCCGAACCTCAAACGGGAGTTTCCGAAAATCGGGGAGCCTAATATGGTACCCTAAATAGTAGGATCCTTGTCATAAGGACCCGAAAATAAGGGTCCCAAAACTCCCAACATCGAAGCTTCGAGTCTTCGATCGAGGCCCAAGCTCCGGTGCTGGCGCTCTTGGGATCGTTCCGGTAGCTCAGCCACCTCCAAGTCTGCAGCTCCGGAGTTGAGTGATGTCCCTCAGGTTTCGCACGGAACCTCACTCCGTTGAAGCCCTGTAACTATGACTTGGCGCGGGTGAGGTCTCAATCTGTCTTTTCTCTCCGGTTTTGGTCCCTTTGCTGAAGAACCGATTATGTCTGGCGACAGGCCGTTCTGCGGCCTACAGTTCCGTTCTAGCCCCGCAGCCTGAGGCCCCGCTTCTACACAAACACTCTGCTCAGCGACTTTGCTTAGGCAGATAGCCGGAAGTGCCTTGCCACAATCGAAAGTCTCCGAACCAACCTACGCGCCTGAACATCGGGACGAACGGGAAGAATTTGTCCTTGATAGTGATGTGGTAACAGCAGGCTTACAGTAGCAGGCTTTCGTGGTTTCGAATCACGTGAGGCCCCAGCATAGTAGATCTTCAGGAGCTCCCTGTTGAAATCCTGCGGCGTCTAGGTAAGCCTTAACTTGATCGAAGGCTTTATTGTCATGAACGCTCGCACATGAAGACCATGGCTGCTACGACGAACAGGATTATAGCATGTGTAGTCGTGATTTTCGTTCTTTCCCCTGCTGAACGCCCTCCTCATCCCTCACCTCCCCCTCCTCCTCCTCGCCTTATCCCGCGTCATGCCTGTTCTCGTTACAAGTCCCCACTGCTGTCCGTTATTGTCGGTA